CATAATACGTCTTGGTTTTAGTGGCTTAAACTCTCATCTATTTACTTATGGTCTGTGAAATGACTCTAAATGTGCATGTGGACACAAGGTTGAGGATCCACCATGTCAATTCTTTTTTCTCTGCCCTATTTATGATACAGAAAGAAAAGAACTGCTCACAAATCTCGACACAATTTTAACCCATGTTTTACCCAAAAGACGCTTCTTTATCTTTTATTTCTAATTTTTATATAACTTATTTTTATTTGGATCAATGTGGCTAACTTTTGAACAGAATTTATATTTATTTACTTATGTTCAACAATTTTTAACAAAGTCTAAACGATTTGCAGTTTAAGTTATGTATTATATATATATATATATATTCCCCTCTGATATTGATCATTATTATTATATACTTTATTTAATGTTCTTATTGAGAACTTTCACACAGCCACGCTGCAGATAAATTGTATTACTATGTTTGGATGCTCCTCGATGCTAAGGCTGTGCCTTGTGAGGAGCCTCCGTGTAAAATATTGAATAAAAAAAGTATATATATATATATGCAAATACGACATTGCCTCGACATAAACGAAAGAGCATAAATAGCAAAGATGAAGGACCCAGGACACATACAAAATATTTTCAGCCTCAAAGTATCCTAAGCTAGTTTTGGGAAAACGTGCATGGTGTAAGTAAGATAATAAGGCAGATTCTGAAAACGATGGATGGTGTATTTGAAAAAAAGATCGACAAAAAAAGAAATATAATTTAAAATGTAACAGTTTGTAGTCTCTCAAAAGAGAACTAATCAGAACTCAGAACTAGTCTGAGAAATACAAGTAAAGTAATAAGTCACAGAAATTAAAAAATATATAATAAAGTACATAAAGTACCCCCCCCCCATCAACATTCTATACATTTATTTTTTCTAAAGGAGAATGCATATTTGCTTACCGGATGACTCCATTAAATCCAGGATCTGAATCGGTTGCTGTCACATGTAATAGAATAGAATGAATCTGGGTGTTCTCGGAAACAGAAATATTCCAGCTCCTTTCGGCGAATTTCGGAATGTAATCGTTGACATCAGTAAGTCTAACCATTACATTCACTCTGAGTGTGGTCTCCGCCTGAGTCACGTCAATTGATATGTTGTGAACACTCTTTATTTGATAGTCTAGATTCTGTATAAAATATATATCTACATCAACATGAAACAATTTACAGACCTACAAATCTAAGAAAACCCAGGCATATTTTCGCGTGGTTTAATCAACATGCATTGTATAACAAGCTTCTGTATTACTTTTCCGAATAAAAACATTTAACTTTAAATAACAAAATTAACTCAACCTTCTTTACTCGGATAATTCCGTTTTGTTTGTTGACAGGATTTACGTCGACGAAAAAGGAAGAAGCGTCGTCCTTAACGATGGAGAATGAAACCTGTGCGTTCTCACCAATGTCTTTATCATGAGCGTAAATGTTGGCAACGTTATAACCAATGTCAACTCTTTCTGATATTATAGTGCTAAATGTGTCTTCAACTAACGTTGGTTTGTTGTCGTCAAGATCCAAAACGTTGATTGTTACTGTACAAGACCCTGAAATGTAACATATATAAGTCAGTATTTTTCAATGCTAAACTTCGGTGATCTGAACAGGTGTTTTAACGAATTATCTACTATACCCTCTTCCTTTAATACACCATTTCATTCTTACAGCAACTCATCCTCCATTCATCCACTCATCCATCTCTCCATTTTTCATCAATTCTTCCATCTTTCCATTCAACGATTTTTCAATCCATCTATGAAAGCATCAATTTATTCATCCATTAACTAATTTATTAACTTAAATATATTGAGTGTATTGTTTTATTGATCTTTTATTTAAATTCACCTGTTGCATTTGATTCTATATCAGTTGCAATAACTTCGATCAAGTACTTGCTGTTCACCTCTCGATCAAAGACGCCCAGTGCACTGATGTCACCAGATGGCTCTACATTGAACAGACTTAAACCACTTAAAGCATCTTGTAAAATGACGTCATCTGGAGGTGATGAGGCGAGAGAATACACTAGGCTAGCGTATTCACCTTCGTCAGCATCTGTAGCAGATATTCTCGTCACAAATGTTCCTGCGAAGATTGTTATGACATTTACAAAATAATTAACGTTTATGCCGTAATGTTTAAAGTCTGTCTACATGATCAGATATTCTTTGAAAAAAAAACTGTTGTACGCCCATGGTCATGTCATGTCATCATGACCACATTATGGCATGTTGCAACATGTTTTTGTCATTATATGATAGCCCAATCAGGGCTTAAATTTAAAAACGATTATGGAGAAGAATCTTTAGCGTGTTGTTTTTTTTTACAGGAAACATTAGACTTATGTTTCCACAATTAGAATACTGAATTCTTAAACAACCAAATTTTGAAATTCATGGCAGAAATATAAACTCACCTACGGGTCTGCCTTCATATATTTCACCAATGTATTTTGGGTTTAGAAACATTGGTACATTGTCGTTGATATCTTGCACGTGTATGACGATATCAACTGCAGACGATAAACCGGCTCCATCACCATCCGTTGCCACCACCAAGAATTTCCATTCACTTTTGTGTTCGTGGTCTAACTGACCGTTAACTTTAAAATCTCCGGTTGAACTATCTATTGAAAAAACTCCATCTGGTACTCCATAGAGGGAAAAAACAATACTGCCAAATGGGTCAATTTTCTCCACTGCTTGGACCTTGAAAATAGAAAGAGAAAAGGTAGTGATTACTTCACTAAAACTACATATCATTTGCTAAATAAATTATTTATGATTGGAAGCATAAGTATTTTGCTGTTTGGACTCTTCATATAGTATTTTCCTGATGACGATGAAAGCAACTTGATTGAGATATCGAGACATTTTCAACTAAAATTAAAGCGTGGATACAGCAGTAATATTTTCTTCTTTCAAAAAATGTGGTAATTTTGCTTGTATGTGAATCTTACCGTAAATAATATTTTTTCTGTGTAAACTGTGTCCTCAATGACAGACGCATTGTACATTTGTTGCGAGAACTTTGGCGCTTCGTCGTTGATATTAGTAACGTTGATAATCAGTGACGTAGTTACCTCGTGAACACCGTCAGTGGCGGCATATGTCAGTTGATAGGATTGGACATCTTCAAAGTCAAGTTTGCTAGACAATGTTATGAATCCAGTTTCAGAGTCGACGATGAATTTCCCGTGTCTGTAAGCAAACGTCCCTGCACCAATATTTGTACCTCCCAAGATAAGATGCTCAACTTTATCTAAATAATGGATATCGACAAAGTAGTGTGGGCTCCTTTACACTTTAGCCATTTCATTTGTAAATCATTCATGTGTTTATTTATTCGTTCGTTTGATTTTACGTTCGTTCGCTCGAGTTCCAGTTCACCCAACCATTTTCCAACCATCTATTCATCCATCTATCCATCCATCCACTTACCCACACCCTCACCCACACCGACATACACATACACACATAAAGGAAACGTAGTACATAAAAATTAAACAAAATAATTTCAGAAAAAGAGAAAGACAATCAATAATAATAATATTATTATAAAAGAATGTATATCAAGTAAATATACATAATGAGAAAACCAATAGTGGTATATTTATGCTCCTAGGAGAAAGGAAAAATAATCATAGCATATATTATCTGGAAATCAAATTATGCCAAAGTTTATATCTGTCTCTTATACACATCTAGATGTGTATAAGAGACAGTATATATATTCTTCTCTACGGCTTGATTTCATAGCAGTCGCACCAAATAAGAAGGATTATGTAGAAAATTAAAATACTTTTTGAGTGTTTATGAAAATTAAAGCAGTGAATTCTAATCTTTGTTTCCAAAGAGTATTAGTTTTTTTAGGAGGTAGGAAGGGGGTGATGGAAGGGGAAAATTAAAGCAGTGAACTCTAATCTTTGGCTCCAAGGAATATTATATTTTTAGGAAGTGGGAGGGGGAGGATGGAAGGGAAAATGCAGTGGATATTATCGATCAATTTTGTACAATTATGTTTTTGTTGGTTTGACAGGAGAACTTCATATGTGGTAAGTACCCAAGAACGCCAACATTATGCTTTCAGTTTTTATTTCTTTGTTTTCAAGAAACAGACTATAAGAACAGGGCGGATTTGTTGGGAGGAGGGGGCAGGCCCCGGCACCCCTTTTGGAATGTAAAAAAAAAAGAAAACAAAATTCTCGCAAAATGCCTCAGATGTTATATTCGGGTGTCTAGAAAACAGAAATTTATCGAGGCATGCCATTCGGACCCCTAGGGTGGTGTTATTTCGATCGGCCCCACTTTCGGCCCCTTTCCCCTCCCCCACCCCTCTCTCTTTTTGGTGAGTAATCCTCGGCTTTAATTTCCCGATGATACTCGGTTTTCCTCTCCCTATCAAAAGCTGTTTCTTTCGTCTTAAGTAAACTGCCACGCATGTAAAACAAACTGCAATCAACAAGTTTACCACAGGAGATCGAGTAAGTCACCTGTAGCACGTAAAAAAATTAACAGTTATATCAAATTAATAAGTGATTAATTTGTTCGCAGTCCAATGTGGTACATATGAACTCGTGTTTGGTCATTGAATGTGTAACTACTTTTCTGCAATTTACAAATTTAACCTCTAATTTAGTCCTGATGCACGAGTTTTATTGACTAGCGCAGACTATTTAAATCACTCTCTTTGGTAGCAGGTCGACCCTTGGCAGGGGTGGCGCAAGGATTTGCCCAACGGGGGGGGGGGGGAGGTTTGGCCGAGGTCCCTGAAAGGGGTTAGAAGTAATGTTGGCGCGGTCGAGCTTCGATTGAAAGGTTTCGAAAGTGGTCCCCGAAAAGTTCGACAATTTACGGGTTTCAAAGGATTATTTAATCGATTTTAGAGTCTACTAATGTAGAAAATAAATATATTCTTTTTTCTCCCTGACGAATTGTGATGGGGCCTGGCAACCACATCCGCTCCCCAGCCGCTGGCACGACCCTTGACCCATTAGTGGAAAAAAGCATCATGTCTTAAAGTTCGTTCCAAAGAGCACATATCATAAACTTTCTACCAACTTCAACCTAATAGCTTTTATGTAGGCATTAACTGCTCCACGTTCGTCATTAAGTTATTACATTCAAGCAGTATTTATTTAAAAAAAAAATAAATAAACAGAAACGTTACGTAAATATAAACCCTACCGGGGTGAAAATGAAACTTAACAACTGGCCAATCAGAGCAGGTCAATGGATATGGACTTGCTCCATAAATACATACTATACTGTTTTGCAAAACGCTGTCGTTTCTTTTGACTTTAGCAGGGAACAGTTAGGCTTTAGCAACAGTATAATCATGGAGGTATAATTGATAATACCTCTATGGTAGGTCTATAATAAGGGGATTGGGCATAGCAGAAAGGTTTGTAATAATAAACAATTATCTTAATACACTAATTCAAATATATTCTTACTTCTCCAGAGCTAATGTCTAAATCACGTGCTTCCAGTTGTAAAATTCCATCGTCTGTCACAGGCCCTTCCACAATATTTACTGACAAACTGCCCTCAACGAGGAACTTGGGCTCATTGTCGTTGAAATCTACTACTTTCACGGTGACTTCCATGTCGTTACAGTTTGGGGTTGGTGCAGCGTCACAGGCAATGATCTTTAGTTTGTAGCTGAATATTTAATAAAGGAAATGTATATATCAACTTATAATTAAAAATCCCCAAAATGATATAAAAATCATTAATCACTAAGATAACTACGAGTTTTTATCTTGGTATACACCATTTTCAAGTCAATTTTGAAACAGCGCCACTAACGTACCGTAACTTTTCGCCAGCAAGCCAGAGCACATTGCTGTTAGCAAATTTTCTTTTTCCATACACATACCTATCCTTTGAATACTTCTACAACCAAAAACACTGCAGGTTGTATTCATCCCTATTTTCATTTTTTGTTGTTTTTAAAGACGAGCATAATTTAGTAAAATGATGTATAGTAGGTTTAATATTACAATCAATATTAAGAGAAGTGTCCACAATATTTATTTAATTTATAAGCCATGGAATGCTCTCAAATAGGGCTGAAACATAGCATACATCATTTCACAATCTTTGCAATCAGAAGTGCAAGTTGTCCGGCCGAAAATGGTTAGCGTATATTTTTATGCGCCCGACCACGAGCAGTGGCGCAGCTATTGGCAGTGCAGCCAGTGCAAAGCACTGTTGCCTAGATTCATTAAATAGACCTAAACTTAATTTTGAAGGGGAAAAAAGGCCAGTGGGCCCCTCAATAATATTCTATTAGAGGAGTAATTATTGATTATTGTGTTGATTTCAATTTAGCAGACAGAATCTGCGGCCCGTTCCCCTACTTTTTTCGAAATTATTAAAAAACATGGGGAACAAAGGAAATTATATTCATTATATTGTGAGGAGTGCCATTTCCGGCTAGAGATGCTATTTTCATAAATTTTCTTACATCAGCCTCAACCATGGTGGGGCTGAGGTGGTCTTCACCCTCCTCCTCCGGTGAAAATCCCTCCCTGGCCCCTCTATTTCGAATTTCCTGATCTGAATTGTTTAATTTTATGTGCTACGGTACGGTACCAATTTCTTGATTAGCTTAGAACAGCTGCTGAGACAGAATATGCCCCTCTTAAAATACTTAAGAATCTGATTATAATTAGTATTTATTACTAACCTAGACCTTTACCAATAGGGGTAAAAGAAGGAATGTTTACGTTGAATTTTGTGAAAACTTTGGGAATAACCTTATTACATCAATTAATCTTGCACTGGGGCCCTTTCGCACCTAGCCACGCTGCTGACCACAAGGTTGAATGAGAAACTAAATTGAAATCGCTATGCCGAAAAGCTCCTCCACTGAGACACTCAGCTGGGGTTTGCCAGTGTTTGTAGCATCATCTTGACGTTACTGCTTTCTTTCTTTCTTTCTTTCTATTTTTTTCAATAGTATGGAAGCCTGATAAATACCAATATTGTCCAAAGCTCTTTTTAAATAATTTCAAAAACATGCTCTCCAGTATAAAGTAAAAAAATAGTAAAAACTATTCACTCATTATCTGGTCTCCTAGTTTACTTAAAAGCAAAATAAAATATTTCACTTGACTTACCTTTGAACTGACTCAAAGTCTAATTTGCTATCAACTTTAACTTCTCCTTCGGCGGGGTTGATAGAAAAGTTTTCAAGTAAGTTGGTGGCTGGTGTCAATCCACTAACAATTGAGTACGTGATGGAAGAAGAAGTGGAATGAGCTGTGGCCTTTACTCTGAAAACAATCGTATTCAACCCCACATTTTCCGATATCGTCTGTTCTGGGAATGGATAGTTGTTCCAAGTTGGCAGTCTATGCGCCTTATCGACGATCGCGAAATAAATATCTGTTAGTCCCTGTTTACTATCAGAATCGATTGCCTGTGCTTTTATCAAAAATGGTTCCACAGTGGTCTGTAAAAAAATTAAAGATACTTTAACAAAATTTGATGCAGTAATTCATTTTAAATAGATATTTATGAGTGGATGGTAAAAAATATCTGAATATAGAGGATTGATTTCTCAAAACCAGCGCACTGTCGCTAAATGTTAACTGAGTAATTAGCATAAGATTGTGGAAATTGTAACTGTAGTATAACTTTGGCAATAATAAGTCGATTCTTGTAAATGACTTATTATTTTAAAGTTTGTAATGTGGAGAATATGAACATATTAAAAATCAAATTTCTTCTTTTTGTCACGGATGCTGGTTTTGGCATGGCATGCCAATTAGCAGAATGATGTAGAGTGAATTCGGAGAGGGCAATACATATTTGTTTATGTATAAAAAAAACCCCCTGTAAATCAGTGTCTATGCCACTGTGTCTGCCAGCACTGTAGCAGCAACGATCTACATACTACAGTTTTGCCATGATAGATTTTACTCCAGGTAGGCATCTAACAATCCTCTTGGTGATTACATTTACGAGAAGTTTAATGCTTAATGGTAAATTGAAATCTAATGTTTACAACTTACGTGTATATCTCGGGTAGTCAAAAAGAGGATGATTATCGTTGATATCAAGAACTCGTATATCTATGGTACATGTATTGCGCAGTTGATAGTCCATCGCTAGATCTGTTGCAATAACGGAAATCGTATATCTAGATTTTATTTCATGATCCAGACTCTGACGAGTCCGGATAATTCCAACACCTCCGGAGCTCGTTTCTATCTTGAAAACTGTGCTACCATCAGTATTTAGAGAAAGAGAAAACTCAACTTCACCATTACGTCCCTTGTCCCTGTCTACTGCTGTCACCTGCGATGAGATTGTTAGTAAAATGAACATTGTTTTGCATTTTACGTTAAGTGCAGATTTGCTGTTTCAAATGAGGCTACAATGAAGAAGAAATACTAAAGTGATTACAAGTAGAATGGCCGAGTTGTTAATATTGGGCTTCGCCGACCACACTGGGGCTTCAAATGTGAACCTCGCGCCCAGAAACCCTCATCCCCCTCCCTTGGAAGAACCTGGCTACGGGCCTGCAGCTCCTGTCAATGTGGACTCATCCAGATGCTGAACATGCGTTGATGAGTACGGTAACTGAACAGAATTAGAATTATCACAAATAAAACCACATAATTCAAAACGCCTATAATAACAAATCTTCTAAATAAATTAATGTGCAATAATAATTTCAAAAAGATGTCCATACTCACATTTAATACAAATGTACCAGTCATTTGCTCCTCGGTAACCTCTACAGTTGAATAGCTCCTGCAGTCTGGAAACTGTGGTGTATGTTGGTTCAGATCCTTGGTCCTAATATTAACACTAACTTCTTCAAACGTTGAATCCATACCTCCACGAACAAGGTTGCTGTCCATGGCTATCACAACCACAGAACAGGATGGTTCCAATGCTTCAGCTGACGACACAAGACTCAATATACCTAATAATAATTATACATATGCCTATGTTTGTATATAAATAATAAATAATAAATAATAAATTATATATAAGGCCTATATAGGTTTTAGTTATAGGCCTATAGGCAAAGATACATACATTAATTAATATATCGGATAAATCCAGTTAAATCCTATCTGATTTGCAATTTAGTTACTCATTTCAAGTTGTGTAACTTCTAAAAATACAACGTGTTAATGTTAATTAATAATTGCTTTATTGCAGTATAAAATGTACAAGAAGCAGCCAGGCGGCTGAAAACGTCAAACAGCCAAAAAATATAATAATAATAATAATAATAATAATAATAATAATAATAATAATAATAATAATAATAAAAGCAGCGTAATAAATAAATAAATAAGGAAATCTCAAAATTAAATAGTCGAAGGATTAATTCCCACCTAAGCAGCTAGCTGTTCCATGTTAGTCCATTGCAATAATATAGGAATTTGTGACTTTCTAAAACGTTTTGTCTTACACCTACTGAATTCAAGAAATTCAAGTTTGTTATAGCATTGTTCCTGATAAATATAGAACTACAAACAGGAGGAAGCATTTCGCGATTTGGAGGCTTCGCCCCCCACCCCCCATGGATGACTTTAGAGTAATTTTCAGCGACACCCAACCACGTCCATTTTTTTCGTCGGGGAAATCGGCCCCTCTGACGGGACCTCGGACCCCAGTCGGGCAAATCCTGGCGCCACCACTGAATAAGGCGTATGTAGCTAATGTAAACAGATGTTATACGGTACTGTATCATTTACGGGGCTTTGGCTCTGCGCAATATACATAGCGTATATAGTCGTCGAGATGCTAAGACTGTATCGCCAACATGCAAACCCCATTATAGGTTGTCTTGGATGGTAACACCTAATAATTTCATATGTGACACAAGTACGCAGCTTACTGTCGCTATGTTAAACTGATTAATTAGCACAAGAATGTGGCATTATTGTATACTTTAGAAAAGAAAAGCCATAATACTTTTACTCATAACCTTGACAATACCGGTAGTAAGTCGATTCCAGTAAATGACCCATCATTTTAAAAAGCAAATTTCATTTTTGGGCACTGATGCTGTTTCTGGGATGGCAAAAATTCAAGTCTATCTCTGAGATAGTAAAGTGATAAAACGACAAAAATGTCTTTATCCAGGTGTTATACACTTTTTAATGAGCGGAAAACTTAAACTCGAGACGAATCTAAGTATTGTCTATATTGTATCATATAGGCAGCGAAAAGTACTGCACTATGTTTTGCTTCTTGCAATCACTGACGTCCAGTAAATTAGGTCTTTTAATTCCTCCTCGAATTATATTATAACATAACACTTTCAAAACGAAAAGCAGGCCTAAAAAAAAGTAGGAAGAAGACACATTGTTTATGATAGGAAATATTTTGATCACCAAATCATTGTTATGGCTTTTTAAACAACATCCTGTCTTCTTCCTCAACCTTTACCTTTCATTTTCTATTCTACTCTTTCTGTTATTACAACGTTTTCAACAATATCAAGTACACAAATGTACAGATAAGTTGACCTCATTGTATATGCTATTAGTCTTACCTCCGCCAAGAAATATATATGTATTGTCTGTTTTTCTGTTAGCAAAATTATGCAAAACTAAGAAATTGATCATCATAACATTTCAGTGGAATGGTACATAATAATCTAAGAAAGAGATGATTAATGTGGGAAAATTTGATCATCCACCTCTTTTTGAACTTACCCTCGACCATTAAGGAGAACAATGGAATCGCCCATACACGGCCATGACCTGTGCATTGTTCGGTATCCAGGTACAGAACGCAGGTATGCATTCTATGGAGTGACAACACTAGTTTTCTCTATGGTTTTTTTTTTTGTTTGTGTTTTATTGATTAACAAGAGTAGGCCTACCGTTTTTCTTTGTGTGTGTGTGTGTGTGTGTGTGTGTGTGCCTACCTGTTTCCTGTTGCATTTTGAAATACGGAGATGCAGTTCCAGACTTCATGGTAAACTGGAGTGCATTACCATTAGGATGATAGGCAAAAACTTGGCCAATATGATATCCAGTAGTTGCATTTCTATCAACTTCAAAGATAAACTCTGAAATGTCTTGCAGTATTTTCAAGCTTTATTTTACTCATTACACCAAATTCAAAAATTCCAATTGGATAAAAATTAAACAAATAATCATATCAAACTTTCTAATGTATTAAAGTATTAATTATTCGGGCAATTATCAAGAAACAACTGATTTAAATTTTATATCAAAAAGATAATAAATGCTACAAGATGTCTGACGTATTACCTCCGCTACTGTAATTTGATCCAACGAGTCTGTAGCTTTTACGAGTATAGTATAACCCGTACGATATTCTCGGTCGAGGGTTGAGAGAACTTTAACGATACCAAACTCATCGATGGAATGTTGTATATTGTCTGGCTGTCTTATAATTGAATATGAGATGCTCCCGTCTGACTGAAAAGATCTTGCCTTAACAGTGGCTAATCTTTAGAAAGTACAAATTAATATGAATGAAAAAAAAAGGTTTCGCAGCGGGTTTTAAAATATCGTGTGACGTCTTAAAATTTTCTGACGTCATTGTATTGCATGCATATTTCTGTAAATTATGCGCTGAAATACAAGTACACTCTTTAAGATGTGGGTTCAAAAATGCACACTATAACTTATTAGGTATAAAAAGTTATTCTAACACAAATCTGTACAATGTTTGAATTATTTTATATAGTGAGTGGCGTTTATATCCGAGAGTAGCGATGATTACAAATAGATTGTAATAGTGATGGAATTGAATGATTTTTTTTTTTGCAAATTAGTAGTACTATTATTAAACCATTAGGAAGTTAACATTGCATATATATACGGCATAGTACTTATTCGAGTGTGCGCTTAGCGAAGGAAATTCTCTGCCGGCGGTGCGGAACTCATTTCAGAGTGGCGCTTACTGTATTGTACGTTCCAGTCATACCGAGTTACAGTAGAAAGCAATCTAACAAGAATCAGACAAGTGATAATTTGCTATACTGTATTTTCTAGATCTGGCCTAGTACAAGTATTGTTTATAGAATCGCCAAACTGAATTGATTTTTTACTTTGACTACGCCTATCCTTTATAATATCTAAAAGTTGGATAAACAGCATTATAAAAAAAGTGTCCGTTAATCGAGTAATATGCTTAATATGTTTACGCTTTGTATCCAGATAAACAGCATTCTTGTCTGCATCATACACATTAGTGTATAGTTAATAAACTACTAAACGGAAATAAACCTCTCTTCGTTCATCTAAGACATGTACGACGAGATGAGCATTTGTAATTTACCTTAGAAAGAATAAAATGTCATATTATTATTATTATTAGGCCTATTAAGAAAGATGGATTCATATATTATTTATAACAATTAAGAAAATTATAAAGTATTTGATATTAATTTAATAATGAATAAGCAAGAAATAAAAATGTGTCATGAGCAAGGAAAGCCGGACATGTGATGTTAGACCTATCGGTACCAAGAGGGAAAAAAATCACTCACTTTGTAGGTACTTCGATATTCTCGTTAATATTAATAGTGTATCCCTCAAGGGTGAACTGAGGTGGTTGAGATGAAGTGTAAAAAAACACATCAGCTGCATTGCGATTCTGTAAGTTATCTTTTTCTGTTACAGTCACTGTTATCCGTAGTACATCCTCTGGTAAAGTACTGAGTGATGGCCTAGTTTTAAGCGATATTTCACCATTTTTAGGATTTACATTGAATAGGTTGTATTCATCTGAAAAAAATCAAATTAATTGAGGACAATCTTTGATGGTTAAGGACATTATTGTAATATATTGTATTCCTTCCTGCAATAAAAATACATAGGCCTAGTAAATATTCACAAAATAAAGAAAGAGGGGTTGAGAAGGAGCATAACTTGTAAGGTGCAGGAACTACTATCACCATAAATGGTTTGCCCCTCCAGTAGCAAATATATTAGAAATATACTGTACAATCAAATAATGAATGTTTATGAGTAAGTAAGTAATAATTATTCCTTTCAATAAAGTAATTACAAAGAAATGACAAAATATGATTTAGAAGGTACAAAAACCAAAATCAGGATCAAAGAACATCAAAAACACACATCACCATTCATGAAATTAAACTTGGAAAGCAGAGGATGAACCTGTAAGTCTATTGGCTTGATTCAGGGGTCCCATTGCATGAGTGCAATGGATAGAATATTTTAAGTGAAAATTTAATCTTTCAACTCTTGAAAATATTCTTCCCTTTGCACGATACGAACATTCATTAGTTTTATCACACTGTAACCTAAAATAGGTCCGGCCTTGTCATTTGATATTTTACTTTAAAAAAAAATATTAGATTTACCTTTTATCAGAATGGAACAGTTCATTTTCTTTCAGCCAATAAAAATATTTTATTAGGTGGAGGCGTACAATGGGACAAAACGAATGGAACAAAGTACGCACAGATGGAACTAAACTTTTTGATGAGTGAAGAAATTGTGTAAATAGCCAATGTCACTTAAAAAAATCAACTAATCAAATGACAAGGATCTAATTAAGTTTGTTATATTTCATTTTATTTACCAGAAGTATATATGCCTATATATAGATTTCGAATAAATATTTTCATTTGGCTTATATAATATATAATGTAATATAATCTATATTTATACGAATATACTGTATGTTTTATAGAGTTACCTCTCTAGATACACTTATATTCATAAATATACTTATACGCGAACATGAGGAAATTTATTGCATGTTATTTTCAACATATTTCATTTACAATAAGGTGTAATGTAATTTAAATGGTTACAGAATACAAGAACTGTGCGGGTTTAGCTCGACAAGGAAACGAAAAGAGTGCATAAATAGGAAGCATTCGTGGAACTATACCGGAATCTAATCCATAGTGCCCTTCCCCTCTTTCTCTATACCATGCAGTATGTATATATATTTTTTAAACTAAGTAAGTTTACCTGAGAACATTCCGTAGACTAATGTATTTGTACGGTTTTCTGGGTCAAATGCTGACAGTCGATAAACAACATCATCTGCATCATTGTCTAATGTAAATTGCGCCTTGTACGGATGGAAAGCCATCGCCCAAGATGGCGGCTCGTCAACATCCAAGACATCAACGACGAGATGAACATTTGTGATTTTACCTGATAAAAGAATGATATTTCATATATTAAGCCTATTAAGAAAGATATTAAGACATTATTTTATTTAAAATAGTTATTTGATTTATATTTAATATTTGAATAATATGAAGAAAATGTGTATGAGTCAGGAAAGGTAATAATCATTGGTGTTAGACCTGCTTATAAATTATACCAATCGATGTAAACCATGTAAACTAAAAATATATATTTATACTTAGATCTTTCTACGTTAAAATAACAAAAGAAGGCATTTAGTGTAACAATATGCCTTCTTGAATATACGAAAATATATTATTTAATAAAATATGAACTATATCAATCCAGCGATTGTATTATGGGAAAGGAAGACGACAAACGTAAACGTCTTACAGCTTTATTTCAATAATAATAATAATAATAATAATAATAATAATAATAATAATAATAATAATAATAATAATAATAATAATAATAATAATATAATAATAATACGTTAGACTTATATAGGGCTTCATGCCAGCAAGACCTCTAAGCGCTCGTCAGAACAATAGCAGTAGGATAATATAAACATTCTCTTCCCTGATAGAATATACATAGAGGCCTAAACGTTTACATTCGAGAGTCGTTTATGGAAAACTTTCATTTATAAAACTATTAACGACCTAGGAAAAAGAATAATCATGTGTTTTCCTGTATTTCTGTTTCTGTTCGTATACTGCACTAAACCTCATAATCAATGCCGTAGCCAGCTATTGGGACAGTCCAACACAATTTTTCTAATGGGTCCACAAAGAGTGGGTCCACATTTTTAAAAATGGGTCCAAATTATGTAATTTTATGCATAAAATAGGTCCAATTTTGAAAAATGGGTCCAGATTTCTCGTATTTAGCTTAAAATTGGTAAAATTTAAAAAAATTTGTCCAGCTTTTTCTTTTTTCCCCGTAAAATGGGTCCACATTGTTTGAATTTACGCGTAAAGTGGGTCCACCCTGGTATCGTCTGGCACTGTTTGAAATCCTGGCTATGGCATTGCTCATAATTGAGTAAAACGTGCAATTGCTAGCGTAAGGACACGCAGACTCATCAGCGTTGAAGTCAAGAGTTATATTATTTCTATTCATAGGATTTATATTTTAATGTGAACAGGACAATTTTAACTAGACATTCACTAGATATTAAATGGGGACAAATTTTAATAAGATGTGAAAAATAAATAAATAAATAAATAAATAAATAAATAAATAAATAAATAAATAAATGAATAAATAAATAAATAAATAAATAAATAAATAAATAAATGAATGAATGAATGAATGAATTCATGAATAAATAAATAAATAAATAAATGAATGAATAAAAAAGTTATATTCATGACAGAATAGCACTGGATTACATGGATACCAATGGCAAGATATACATCTTGACATGAAAGTTAATCTATAAAGGAAATTATTTGAAAATATTTTTAAATTCATTCAAAGGCAAGTTAGTCATAAATGGGTCAAGTTTGTTGTATTCGATGATCCTTCTCGGGAAGAAAGAGAATAAATAGGTGTCAGTGCAGGCTGTAAGGGTTCTAAATTTCTTGATATAAGCTGCTCGAGTAAAGCCAGTACAGTGATTTAAGTCGGCAGATGGTATGGAAACAAATTTATTTATAATTTTATGAAGAAATCTAGCAGCGCGTCTTTGGATTTTCCCAACTTTAGAGATATCTTTTTTTTTTGGTAGGGATCCCAGAGTGAAGCGCAATATTCAAGCTTTGGCCTAATAAAGGTAATAATATATGCCAATTCTTTGGACTTTGGGGGGCAGTTTTTGAAATTACGTTTTAGGAAGCCTAATGTTGAATTGGCTTGTATTGTAATAGTGATAATGTAGATGTTCAATTTCATGTCATTCAATGCCTAGGTATTTTGTGTGTTTCACATGTTGAAGAGGTGTCTAATTCATGGAATAAAAAGTACTAGGGGTTTTAGTACGATGAAAGTAAAGAACACAGCATTTTCTTTTGTTAAATCGTTAATGAGATTGTCCAGTTCTTGTTTTAATACATGGATTTGGTAGTTGAAGAAAACCTTAAAAAAAAACCCCAAAATTAAAATGACCTTGAGATAGTGAAAATAATGATCTAAACATATTTACGATAATACTAAACCTTTTTATTTCTAGGGCCTACGTATTTTAAACTTTAACTGACATGAATTTATACTACGAGGGGAAAATAATGACTCAACCCAGGCTATGCAGATGTCTTAACTTGTTAATTTGGTATTATATATTAAATATTATATTATTATTATATTATTATTATTATTATATTATATATATATATATATATATATATATATATTTATTATATATATATGGGTTCCAAGTAATCACCAGCCAATCCATTTTATTATATTGTTCAAAAATAAATAAATCAGTAACTATGCTAATGTTTATCTTAATTATCCGACAATAAATATTTAATGCTACTCACCATCCGCATTATTGAAAACAATAAAATTGATAACTTCGGTTGGATTTGATTCAAAATCAAGTACATCATCAACAACAATAACTCCAGTATCATTTTTAACAGCAAACCGTCGATTTAAATTTCTTTCAAAAAATAGATTTCCACTTCCAAATTCGGTTGACAGGTCGTAGATAATAGAGCCAATAGAACAGTTTTCCTCAACCGTGTGTGAAATATTGACTGATTTCTCTTTTTGCAGATGAGGTTGGCATTCCGTCTCCAATTCATTCCATAAAATTTCGCATTGATACAAACGTTTTTGAAAAACTAACAAGAATACAATACGTAAGATCCATAGCTCCATCATTTTATAACCTGAAAAAGTGTTAAGATTATATGTAAAATATAACAACATATCTTTTTTATAATGTAGAGATTAAATGTGTTTCCACATTTGTGCTTCTGTTACTATTGATGAAATTAGTCTTGAACTAAGAAGAAGTTGCGTCTAAATATTCTTCTGGGTCAATTCGTCCAATGATCAATGAGTTGGCAGTTTCCAGAAATAATATAGTTGACATTGAAAGGTTCTTTTTATTTATTTAGTTTTGATAGAATTTGCAAAATAAAAGGCAAAAAAACCATTGTAGTATAGAATAGATAAAGAGATGGAAAACAGGACGAGAAACACAAGATGACAAAATAATTCAGATCCGAATTTAACAAACTTTAAAGAACCATTTCAGAAATCGTCTGTCTATAACAACCGCTCAGTTTATTTGATTCTCCAATCTTCTTTGTTGTTGATAGCACGTCACTAATAATTATTGCAATTGTCAATTCGTTGATTTAAGATAGGTGAGACTGAGTATCAACTACATTGCTCATGTTAGGTAATAATAACGTTACGCTTCATTAGATCACATAAAGTTCAAGATATTGTTTTCGCAAGGACACCTCTGCAAAAATGATGCTTAAAGCCTCCGGTAGTACGATGCCTCTGATTGAAATATGTTTAATATTTTGAATCAAAATTCTTAAAAGAATAAACTTAAACTTTTAATTTTTTAATCGGACTTCCATACTCCGCGATTTCCCATCAAAACGGAAAGCCTTTGGTCTTGGCCTAGGCCTATATTCCACTTCTTAGATTTAGTTTAGAGACTAACATAATATTTCTTTATGAATTATGGTACTAGTAATAAAGATCTATATACCCGAGGTCAAGGAAGTCCAGACGATATAAAATTTAAATGTGCTTCATTTGAACACAAACAACTTCTTCCACTGTCGGCACATAATCCCACACTGCCTCAAAACGCATTAACTATTCAAGAATTACAATTTAGTCTTACCATTTAACGATAGGAGCCTAACAACAACATATTGATATAGGTATGGATAGAGCATTTTTCCTGGTTAATACTATCATGGAGGAACTATTTACTGTTAGGTCGATGGTTTTAGCCAAAATGTAAGTTATGACGTCACATGTTTACAGGCCTACATACTGAACGTTGGGTTTTTTGTTATCTTAATCTTATCTATTTCAACATACCCGTAATATAAATATGTATCCCGAGTAGGCCTAGTTAAGAAACGTTCAATCATAAAATGTTATGATGAGTCATTTGGTGTTTCCATGAATATCAGAAGTAATAGAAATTCTAGGCAAATCGCCTGACCCAAAATCATTAAACTTAATTTACACAGTATTTTTATCACTTGCAATGAGCCCAGTTAACACAAAACACATATTCTGATATTTATTTCCACTGATGGAAATGGTTTGTCGACAATTAAACCGTTGTTTTTTGGGTTTTTTTGAGTCAGTTTCAATGAAAAAATACTGATAAGCCTACTTAAATTTGCATATATGGATTATCATAAACATATTCAGCTGTATTTATCTATAATCTTTATAATCTTTGCGAACAAGGAAAATAGCTACCTATGGCCTACATGATATAAAAAAAACATCCATATCCATACCAGTAGGCTATCGTTAGACTTACAATGTAAAAAATAAGCCAAACGCGCGCTGAAGAAACTCAGTCCTTTGTCGACAACATCCTGTACATGCTCATAAATGCATATTTCCCAAATCTGATTAACACACATTTTATATAGCGTGAGGCTGGGATTATAATGGGTACTAGTATAAAAAGTTGAAAGTGAAATAATACCCATGGTAGTCACCGAATATCAAGTCAAAGAAAAAACCTATTAATCTGAGCATAAAACAATATAACTAGGCGTAAATAAGTGAATAGCCCGGTACGTACCAACGTCAGCCCATTAGCGGATCACCTGCGGCCTGTGTTCTTCCTGGTAAAAACTGAGGCGGAAGACAGACTTTCATACGATAATAAGATATAGAGCGTGCATTTAAGTCATTGAACTAACAATAATAATATCCTTCCGGTATTGGAGTTAACAGGTGAAGAGGCAACGGAGAAGATTAACAATCCTACACAAACTTTAGTAAAAATATTAGGACAAAAAAAACACACACACACACACACACACACACACAAAAAAACAAATCCTTCTTTGTTTATCACCATTCATAAGATATCCACTTAGAAGACACATATATGATCATTAAGATACACTTTATATGTATAAGCCTTGTAGAAACAGATGTAGATGCTTATATATACGAATGATTATATATTATATATACCGTAAGACAAGACTAGTACATTTTTCCTACTTTGCAATTTATGTAAAAGAAAATTACAAAAAAAAAAAAAAAAAAAAACAATAACAGGGTGGAGTTCCAATAACAAAAATCTATCATCACATCTTTATCACTATCCATCTGCATCATCGCCATCATCATAATCTTCGTCGTAATAATCATCTTGAGCCGGATCCAATGTAGTATGTTGACATCTTATAGTCCAAACAAAAAGAAATAGAAAAGAAGCAAACTAGACAAATCAAACACGCACATAAGCATACTGCTGTAGACCAGACATATCAGATACAACAATTTATATTCGTTATTAACATACAGATAGTAGTGGTTATTGAATGTCAAATAGAAGTTCATTCCACAGCTTAGGGCCCGTGATACTAAAGCTCTTTCTGTCGTCGTTACGCGTTCGATTTCAATTATTACCTCTTGTTTTTATATTACTTTGTGTATACATAGGCCTTATTGACGTTGCTGAGGCTAAGTAATTCGAAGATGCTTTCTAAAGATTATACTCTTGATAGAGAAATTTTTTTTCTAAATGGTTTACCTCCTGTAAATGTTAAGAATATATTTTTGAAATTGTCACGTAAAATTAGTGTACATTATTATAGAGAAAAAGAAACAGCACGGTAGGCCTACATCATGAAATAGTTGCCTGCTTTATTCAATCGGATGGGACGCTTAACATTAAATCAAGAACATTTACCATCTCTGTCGTTAAATTTCTGTAGTTAAGTTGTTCTGTAGTTAAGTCTTTTTCCCCTTGAAAAGTCGCACCTTCTTACTTGAGGTAGCGCCAACTTAGCAGTGCACGGTAGGGGAGCCATAGGCTTATCCTTGGTGGAAGCTACCGGAGCCCAGCAAACTGACGCCGAAGTACCTACGTGTCGGTAGTGATAACGACGCTATCTCAAAATCGGGGATGCGCACTCCCCCACACCTTCGCGTTCTTTTGTCTTTGTTTCTTGTGGCTTCAAAAGCGCCTTGAGACGGTTTTCTGTGGAAGGCGCTA